AAGTGCGATCGGTTAGCGCGACGCTTGTGGTGCCCGTGAGAATTTATCAAATTGTCAGCTGCATACACTCTTACCAGTGTGTACCTGCATATTGCTGTCGCGTGCTTCCCTCTCATTCGGCTCCATTGACCGTTATGCTATCTTTGCATGAGCAGCAAGCACGGGTGTGATAGCCGAGTTGGTGCGTATACACTATTGACGGCTAAACCAAAACATGGATAGTGCAAACTTTTACGATTCGTGCTCCTTATACCCAGCCACTAAACTGCGACAATATTACGGTCGAGCCTTCCTTGAACCCATTCTAACCGGATGCTCAAACGATACTGTAGAAATTTACTTGGTTGGACCATTCTCCATCACGACTCAGGGAGCATTCATATATTGGTGGCTGTGGAACACTTCCTTCCGTGGAGAGAGGTGGTTGCCCTGACTCAGGTTGACGCTATAGCCATCGCTCTAACTCTGACCACTGGATCAGTTGGTGGAGCACTGCTTTTCAAATGCATTCAGATCGTGGTTCTGGCTTTGAGCATATGGTAGCTGGCAAACTATGGAGTGATGATGGTCTGAAAACCCTGTACAACAGCACATTGTTCACAAGGGAATTGATCGGCCACGCTAACCAACCAGACTCCAGGAGCATGCCTTCAGGACTTTGTAGAATAACAAGACCCTCAGGAGTGGGATAGTGACCTACCTCAGCGTCCTATGGGATACCTCTCCAATCGCGGTAAACCAACGGGGTAAGCAATCTTTTTCATGGCAGCTGAATGACAAGTTCGCCTATCATTAGATTCCACGCCTACAGCGCAAACAGACTGCGGTCTGTGAGCTTCCGAGCTCTCCACTACACTACAACAAAACAAGAACACAGTCCGCCAACAGGTTACATATACAGCTTGAACGAAAACATCTATCACAGGGAGCGTTGAAATACGCACCACTGCACGGGAAGATTTCCAAGTTTCACTGGAAGCGGATGGGACTGTCCACTGTAGTGGAGGTACCTAGTAGCGTCTTATGTGAGATCCAGGACAGAGCATCCGGCCGAAGCCTAGTCATGCACTACAACAAGCTTAATCCCCACCGATGTCCCGTGGCGAACTAATCTAGAAGATCAGGAGACCGAACCAGCACCGATGGCAAAATCTTCAATGAATAAGCACAGTGCGAGATAAGTTGATTGGAGATGGGACACTGTCACCTTCAAATTTAAATTGCATGTCTTTCTCTTTTCAGGCCGAAGCTGAGATAGGTGCGGATTGGGTGTTCAGAGAATAGACAAAGTTTGTCGACTACAAACCAACGTATCACTCTTTCCTCGTATATGAGCGGTCGTAGAAGGAGTTGGTTCTTACAAGTGAGAGTACTTGAGTGGTTGATCACCAGAGTACTTAGATCCCTCTCCTCTGGATCACGTGTCACCTGGAATCCCTCTGCCGCTACAGTATCCAGTTAGATGCTTGATTCCCAGTAGAAAGTCTTAAGTTCTTGGAACGTTTCATAGCCAATCATTTTGCTTCAAATTTTCGAGAAGAGGCACGTGATCATACGAGGAAATATCACTTCGATAGGAGGGGAAAAGTTGGTCTCCCGCAAAGGCCTGGAAGCAGCTAACGCCACCGTACGAATTTATATAAACCGTCGTATTTCACCATGTAGTATGCCACTGCAACACACCATCAGCATGATCACTAGGGAGAAGATATGCAACGGAAGCAAAGAAAACGTTTTCCAACAAAGCAACAGATTTCTAGGCACAACTTGCTATAGCGTGTCACATCATCAATAACGTTGTTCAAAACATCACCGTCAAATATGTTCCATTATCATTTTGACCATCTGAGATAACCTGTTTTTGCAAGCTAGCATTTATACTGAGTGATGATTGTAAGTGAAGTGAAAATTTAAGCCACGGTGGGATTCAACCAAGCTCCCTCCTCCTAATTCACTGACATTTGGATTGGGATGAGAAGTCCTGACTAAGCAGCCAATATGAATACAATCAAGCGGTAGTAACGTATCACGAATTCCCAAGGTAGTTAAGCAAAACCCGTAGACGCTGGTTTGAATCCGTCCTCAGTCCAAATTTCCATTTCACCTTCAATCATCGTGATTATTATTTGTCCCCAGGGTTCCTAGTCGAACATACAGCTTCAGTAGCACATCTCCATTCCACTACGTTCTCTGCAATCTTTTCAACCTCGCTCCACCACTGCCCACAGGCGCTCACTTCTTCCTCACACCATCTCCTCCATGTCACCCTCAGCTCCGACGCCCAGCTCGTCATTTCCCAATACGGGTTCTACTCGACGACCTGACCTGGCCTGCCACGTGATGTCCCCAATCGGTCTTCTCAATGTATGCACAATCCATTCCAATCCAATCCATCTCCACTTCCTTCCAGTGCATGTTTGTTGGGTGATAGGTTCTTGGTTAGTTCGACGACAGCCAACCAGAGTTCCTCCTTTCGCATTCTTATTATTTCGGCCATCTGATCTTCAGTAACGGGCCAGTGTAGGCAGTTGTTGATGAATGCCTGAAGTTTGTTGGAAGTGCTGTTCTTAACGCACCAAGTCTCTCAACCATCACATAGAAGCACTGACTTGACAAGATTGGTGTTGAAAATCCGCACCTTGTTCTTTGAGATGAGTAAAATGCAGTGTATCTGCACACTGGTTTCAGGTCGATGAACACCTGTCTTGCTGTCTTTCCGATCCTGGCCGGATTAGACATCTGCGCCTGTGTCGCCTGCAATTGAAACGATGTTGTCCTGCCTAGCTGGGTAGGTGAAGGAGGCTACTTCCTTTAAGTTTCTCCCGTTGATGGTGATTGGAGCTTGTTGTATAAATATGTATAAATATGTTCCAGTCTGTACATTGCGGCATATCTCTTAGAATAAGTGTGTTACAATGAGAATGGTTTCTATATACAATTTTCGTAGAGGTGACGGCTGTTATTTGTAGTTTGCCATATATTTTAGGCAAAACATGTATAATACGATGATCTCAGGTGAACAGCGGGTTCTCTTTCGAGTTTAAAATATACCGGCATCATCGACGAATACCAGGTCTACTGTTGCATCTTGATGTGCTGTGAAGTCGACATGGTTTTGAAAGCCAAGAGACTTTAGAAAGCCTTGGCCACAGAAGTTGAAATCGCCACATATTTTTGACAAGGTACCATAGAGTTGCAGGGGTGCGTGTTACAATCCCGTAACGTTTGATCAACCCTACTTAACTTGATGTGCTCTAGCACCTGCCTAACCAGTACTTTACCTAACGCGTAAGTACTGATAACAAAGCACAAATCAAAAGGACTGATACAGAATGTATTGAAGGAGCGATGTATTTAATTAAAGTAAATGTAATAATAATGAATGGGGGAAAAGTTTAATCAATTTATCTGGCTTGTAAGGCTGAACTAGGGACTCGGAGTACGAGCATGGTAACCAGTACAGTGGAGCGCAAAGCGGCGTCCAAGCCTGCTAGGATGCATGCTCGTTAAAACAAAACCTAAAACACCCTAAGCATCCGGAAATGAGGTAGAGGTTTATTTAGTTAATTTAATTTAGTCTACTTATTTTAGCCCTAGCTATATTTTGGTGCCTGGAAGGTGCACTACACACCCTTCACTTCCTGAGACATTAAGAGGCCATCAAGAGTGAAATCTTTAGGTCACTGTCTAGGCATCTGCTCACACAAATAAATGAATAAGTGATCTTATTCGCACATTAAAAAGTTAAACATGAAAGAAGCCAGTTCACAGGCTTCATCACGCTGATACATCTCAAAATATCTACAAGACTGCTAGTCCTGAGTGGTACAGGCGGAATATAATTAAACAACTAAAAGCAACCGAAGATCCCACTAGCTATGAAACGAACGTGGAAATATTACTTTACATCTTAAACAGAGTGTTAAAGTTTGGATAATATTAAATATTATCCTCATACAATGGGTTTAACATGAGAGATACCAGTTTAGTAGCACAGTCAAATTCATAATTTTTGAAAGTTTAGCAACTGGTATTTAATATTAAATAAGCCACATACAAAGCCATAAGTGAGCACAATCTTATTAAAATTTGCTGAAATTCATGAGACGGTCATGGATTTTCGTCTCCCTTTACACAGATAGGTTTCACTATCAATATCAAAAGCGCGCAGTGTTCAGAGTTGGCGTTATGACCAACCAACGTTTTCAGTCCATGCGCATAGTTTGCTATTTAGTAATATAACAGCCTATTCCTTAGAATGATCTTCAGTTTTTGGCTTTCCTGACCACAAAGGACTCATTTATACAATCCGGTTACCAGTAAAGTACCCACAGTTATATAACCAAGGTGCATGTCTATATCAGTGCACTCCCAGGTCACCATGTTACGTTTGGAGGTAATAGAAATCAATTCCATCAAGAATATTTGTTGTATTGGATTGATTTAGACGTTGAAGTGATCAATAGTCCAAATGGCAGTTTTACACGTAGACTTCGGGTACCTTTTGTATTAGCGTAAGCAGCATCATTCAAGAGATATTTGTTGTATATTAACCTTAATATGAAAAGATCACTTGATACAGAGTACCAGAAAATATGTAGTATGGAGCTACTGCAGGTAAGTCGCGTTCCGAGCCAATAGGTAAATTGATCGCTGGTTTAATCATCCGTGCAGTATGTCTCTGCTACTAATACTGTTGGAAAAGTTTAACCAGTTCATCGCAAATAAAAAATCGTGACCAATAGGTTAGGCAGTCGTAAGAATGGTCCAGAATTCGCGAAAAAGTGGGAGCAGAGTTGCGAGTTATGAGAAGGCTGCCATGGAGTCGAAGTTTGCTGAACAGACTTATATTTCCACTCATTAAGCTCTATACTTTAGGAAGCAAGCGATTAACATTCGTGTGAACCTATCCCGTTTTTTTCTTCACCACCAGAAATCAACTTCAAGAAGCAAAGCCTAGACCTCAAAATTCCAGACGAAATCTCCAGTTCTAGATGAATTTAATTAATTAATTTAGCAAGGAAGTGTGTGCCAGGATTAGCTAGAGGGGTATTATTTGAAACTGCTCTTGAAAATTTACAAAAACACGCCTTTTTGGTGCGAGAACGACCAGACTCATCAAAGAAGTGGTTAGGTATCTTCGAGTCTGCGTTAGTTAAATCTGAGTGATGAGCGGTCATCCTTTCTAAAGGTTGCTGAGCAGTAGATGCAATAACAGAATTTTCATAGTTTTCTGAATTCAGAACGACCGACAACTTGTCATCATCAATTTCTACGCCCATATGCTCTCGGTGCAAATAAGCGGTGGCGGGTGGTGGCATTCATAGGAATGGCAGGATCATCTGTAACTCCAATAATTTCTTCACTGGTACAGTTTTGCTTAACCATGATAAGGTGTTCAGATAAGGATGTCTATTGTGGCCACTTAGCGGGAACGTATAGTTTTATTTGCATTCAAATTCAGTACTTTCAAAACTATCACAAGTACTGTGACTTGGTCCCGAATGGGAACAGGCATTCAGTGACATTCCTCGACCCCTAAATTCACAATCCAAAACAATTTTGCATTAACCAGGCTTGTGTAGATTCATAACTGGGGTAGTGCGGTAGATCATTTGAAACTTGACTAATATAACCTTTCGGCACGTCTGTGCCAAGTATTTGATAGTAATTTTTTAATAAGTTCTGGTCTGCATATGGTCTTCTTTGAAGGTTGCTATGTGTACGTTCTGCTTCAGATTCGTTGCTCGACAAGCTGTGCTAATCGAACTTTCACGGTAATGGAGCTCGGTAATGGCCATCACGTAACACTGTACCTCGTTCAACCATAGTCAAGTCTTCTTTGTCTACGGAAGACATTTGTTTTCTACTCCGTGTCTGGTAATCTCGAAATTCGGATGCCGACATTGTCAATAACCCAGAGAGTTAGCAGAGGCAGCCTTGTTAAATTCCTTTCCAGGCCCGAACAAAAACCAACTACTGAAAGGGAGGTATATGGTTGGTTAGAACTTCCAATGAGCTTTTCAAGTATCTAATGTGCCTCTGAAACACTTGTCCCAATCAACAAACTAACTTGTTTGCACCCAATCCTCAGTAAAGATACGTCACGCAAATGTTGCCACTGCCGGAATTGCCCGTCTGAGGGTATTCTTGCCTCCATTATCGGCAAGTTTTCTATGGTATAGGCTTTCCTTACGCCTAACTTATAATCTTTTAATGAGCTAACTTCGAAGTCAACTGTAGTCGAGTCTTGAGACGCACTTTCATTGAATAATGTCACCTGTACTCGAGTGCTCGTTCCTTTGAGCTCAACTTGATCCACCAACTGGCGCAGAAGTAATGTATCACCTGAACCATTATCCAACAAAGCGTAGGTGACTAAACTCCCTTTAGGGCCAAACCTTAAGTATGTACCGCATTGTTCTCCTATGGCGCCGCCGTGATATTCGTTTGTCTATTAAGGGTCACGTGTACTGCACAGCAGTCTACTCTGTTCTACTATATAGCTGTGAAACATGGCCATTGAAAGTGGAGGATACAAAAAGGCTTCAGGTGTTTGACCACCATTGCCTTCGTAGTATAGGCCGAATTGCGTGGTGTCACCATGTGAGTAATGCAGAAGTTAGGTGTAGAGTTTTGGGGAGAAGAGGTAAGTCAGTTGACGAGGTTGTGAATCTTCATCGACTGAGATGGTTGGGACACGTACTACGTATGCCTAGTCACCGATTGCCTTGTCACACAATGTTGGCTGAGGTGGGTCCAGGCTGGAAAAAGGCCCGAGGTGGCCAGACTAAAACATGGCACCAATGTATGAAGTCTCTGACTGTTGGTTTAAGCCATGTAGGACGATGCAGACTAGGTGGTTGGGGTCCGCGGGACAAGAGGAACCAGTGGTTGGAGACCCTAGGTGATATGGCTCAGAACCGAAGTCAGTGGCGCAGATGTATACACACATTATCCTCATCTTAACAACGCTATGCCGAATCTCACTATTTTGTCACTCCTCTTTCCTTTCTTCTCATACTTTATATTTCTTTTGACTGCATTCACTTATCTTCATCCTTCACCTCACTACCTTTTTACTTGATGTGCTGATATGAGGTGTGGCAACTCGGACCGTTACGCAGTAATGCCTGGTCCTATGTTGATAATGATGATGATGATGATGGTGCGCAATTCGAGAGTAGTCTATTTCAACAGTTAACTGAGCTTCTCGGGATCAAGTGCATAAGAACCACTGCGTACCATCCTGCATCCAATGGTATTGTCGAAAGGTTCCATCGACAACTAAAAGCAGCACTGATGGCAGTAAAGACTGATGACAAGTGGAGTGACAAATTACCACTAGTACTCCTTGGTATACGTTCGAGTGTCAAGCAGGACATTGGCTGATGTACTGCTGAGTTAGTTTATGGAACTACTTTAAGATTGCTAGGAGAGTATTTTAACCCGGCAACAGACGTTCCACCGGACTTGACTAACTATGTACAACAACTACGGCGACACATGAGCACACTTCGACCTCAGTCCCCACGATACCGAGACAACCAAGTTTACGTACCTCAGTGCATCTCAAACTGCACTCACGTTTTCGTTCGACACGACGGCGTACGAAAACCCTTACAGCCCCCGTATGAATAACCTTTCAAGGTAGTTAGTAAATCAGACAAGATTGTCACGGTCGAACGCTCGGGTAGACGAGAAACGGTCAGCATTGACAGAATCAAACCAGTGTTTGTGGAACCAGGTGTCACGGATACCAAGTGTGAACCCGCAGTGAAGCAACCGGAAACACCGAAAACCACCGTCAAAACAGAAACAACGGCATCAGAATCACCCAATAGTAGCGACGGTAGCAGAACCACGAGATCCGGAAGAAGAGTCCGTTGACCACGACGTTACTTTCAGACAATTTACATTTCATAAAACCAATTCCCTAGTAACATTATTATCGTTTTTGCTCATTACCTTGTTAAAAACATGACCACACGATTTTGTCAGACTTTCCCGCATACACAGAACAGAAATTTTTTCTTCCGGGCACCACGGACTTCCGAGTCTCTTATTTCTTAACAATGTTCCAGGTAATACGATTTTGGTTGTTAATTTTTTTATCTCCGGATGTATTATTACTTTGGTAAAGTTATTTTAGTGTTTCGAATGTCATACACTCCATTTTTATGTAAACACTCTTCCAATCAGTTTTCATCCTGATAGTAGATATCCTTAACATTCCTCCTATGTTTTTAATATCTTCAAAATGAATTTGCCTTTCTCATAATATTTTACATCGAACACAGATATTCCCTCTTATATCTATATTCTGGGGAGGGACTTATGTAGCATTTTATTTCACTGTATTGTGTTGATGTATGTAACAACTCATTGAACATTTTTTGTTTAGTTGTACTGAAAAAGACTTTTTGCTCGCTCGTTGACTAATACAACCTCCTGATATGTACTTCGCGTTAACTCCTGATATTTACGCTGTCCGACGCAGGTGGATCAGCAGTGTCGGGAATTATAAATAGGCGATAGTGTATCTGGACACGTATATAAAATTTGGAGTCAGATTTCAGAGCTCGACATATCAACCTCTAGGTGTTGTCCGGCACTCGGCTACCAACAGACATGTCAATACACCTTATGAATTTACAAAAGTTGATTGGTGAGCCATCAAACTTATCAGTTCCAATCTGAGGAATACCCACGCATCCTAGAACAGAGGTTGCTCCACAGGCGCATAGTGTGTAACGGTTGATCGAGTGGTTAAGTGCGACGATTTCAAACGGCTCAAACTGAGTTCGATCCCCGCTGGCGCTGTCATAAGCCAAATAAGCTCATGCTTTTGACCCTTTCCCCTTAATCCTTCATAACTTATCTCTCTTCAACTTCATTTTCCTAAACCAAACTAATGCTACCTGCTATGGTGGCAAACACGTCTTGTAAAGTCATGCTGAGAGGAATGACAATGTTGTCTGTTGGATACTATAATATCAAAGCTATAGAGACAATATGGTGGTACAGAGTGTGCTGAGACAAGGTGAATTTATACTGTGAAACTTAAATATTATGGAAGTTAGGCATAACCGTACTTTTAACATGATATTTTTGTTCGCAGTGTATTCTCATGGTCATTAATGAGCCGCGTTCTAACTGCGTCAAGAGCCATACCAATCGGTATACTAGTATGCAAACTAACTACATCAAAACTAACTTTTTCATACAAACAAACAGGAGGAATTACCACGAGATCACCAATATTCTCTATCGCGGCTGGTATATTTATGGATAGTTGGGAACGGACGGGTGTCGAAACATTTAGTCCGGCTCCGTAAGTATGGTTTGAATATGTAGATGACACATTTACAGAGTTGAAATCGGAGCTCATACATAGTTTCTTCACATACATAAATTCAGTTGTAGAAAATGCTGAAGGGCAATCAGCGACGTTGAACTGCGGAATAAAACGAAAACAAGATGGGAGTTTAGACATCAGTGTGTACAGAAAACCTTCACACTCAAATCTTTGCCTAAACTTCAGATCGTCTCACCCTACGTTAGTAAAAGTTGGCTTAGTAAGATTTCTAAGTAACAAGGCCAGAAAACCAGTAAAATAGAAGATCTACGACAAGGAAGCGGCAAAATTTAGGACATTTACCAATCAACAATTACCCGCTGGAATAATTTTTAAGGCCCTTTGCAATTGTAGAGAAAATATGACTGGTATTACTAACACAGGTGTTAGTAATAATAGTAATGATAGTGGCAATACTGTGAAGAGAGAATTGCAAACCTCTACAGTATTACTATAACCTCGCCTGGATAACTAGTTCACTAGTTACTAGCCTGTCCTAAGCCCGGGTAAAGAGGGAAGGTTTGTCATACCGCTAGCAACCCTACCTCGTAAAACCAATCCAAGCGCTACAGAAACTTCAAAGCACAAACAAAATATGAAACATAAAAATAAACTTATTCCTCGCTGGAATCGGAGAGACGAAATGACGCCGGTTGGTGAAAGCCTTCGGGAAACAAATTGGCCGATGTGTCTCCCCTCTCTTGATGAAAGCCAAAGTAAGGGTGGGGACATGGAATGTCCGCACTATGTTTGAACCTAGCTGACAAGGCTGCTCAGATTGCAAAGGAGATGAGAAGTTATAGTATTGAAGTTCTAAACTGTAAATCTGCGAGAGCAGGTGGAATGGAAGTGGACTCTCCAAACTGTCAACTGGAGGAGAGTCAATAATCTACTCCGATATTGTCATCCAGACGACAACCATGAGCACACTGAGTTTTGGAGTGGCTATCATGATGTCCCCCT